CAGGAAATCCTGCTTTCTAAACAGAGCCCTGGCAATGGCTCGACCTTCATTTTTGGGCCAGGAGCCCACATGAAATTACACGTTGAAGGACGTTGGCCAGAGGGGCCTGCCCGCTGCTCACAGCATCAGTGTGGATGACTCCTATGAAATGCAAAACACTTTCATGCCGGGAGGGTAGTGGGCTGCCCTTTTTCTGTGTCTCCTTGCAGAGGAACAAGGAAACAGCCTAAGATGATTATCCTCCACTGCTTTGCTCTCCCAGAGACTAGTGAGAGCTGGTTTGTAACAGCCACTCCTATTCCAGAAAGTCATCAGGAGGCCCAAAATCCAATTTTCATATACACATACTCAGCACTCCGTATCTATGGATTGCACATCTTTGGATTCAATCAACTGTGGATCAAACATTCAGAAAAAAAAAATGCATCTCTATTGAACATATAGATACTTTTTTCCTTGTTATTAGTCCTTACACAATTCAGAATACCGGCTATTCACACTGCATCCTATGAGGTATAATATAATTTAGAGACGATGTAAAGCACATGAGAGGATGGGTGTAGGTTTTACACAAGTACTATGCCATTTTATTTATTTATTTATTACTGTACTGGGAATACTATTGAACTATATCCCCAGTCCTTTTGATTTTTTTTTTGTTTTTTTGGAGGCAGTTTCTTACAGAGCTGCCCAGGCTGACCTTGAACTTGCGATCCTCCCTGCCTTAGCCTCCTGAGTGGCTGGGATTACAGGTGTGTACCACTTCCACTGGCTTACTAGGCTATTTGAGGGACTTGAGCATCCTCAGATTTTGGTATCTCAGGGAATCCTGGAACCAGTCCCTGGTGGATGCCAAGGAACAGCTATGTACATAAGGACCACATTTGCTATTGGATTCCTCAATCAAGCTGAAGAGATTGGTAGTAGGGGCTTCTCTTTGAGAATCTAATTCCATGCTCCAAGCCCAGCGTGAAGATGAGCAGCTGCCTACCTAAGAGACCGTGGCAGTTGCTAGAAAGGCCCCTGCTGTTGGAGATGTAGAAGCCCAGGTGGTTTCTCTGGAAGGGCGCTGGGTTTTTGTAGAGGTGAATGAGGATGACAAAAGCAATGGTGCCCTGGATGGTGACAGTGACGTTAGCGTTGGCAGACACAGACACCTCCAGCCCCCGGCTCCCCACCACCACGCTCTGGTTGCAGGGAAGGACCAGCCTGTCGCCACCATCCAGGATGACCCTGTTGGGTGTGATCTCCAGGTATGATCTCTCTGGCTTGTTGATGAGGATGGTGATGGTGCGGAAGTAGGTGCGCTGCTTCTTGTGACCACTAGGTGGGGCGGGGGCCCCGATTAACTCTCCATTCACTGTCACACCTTGAAGCCCAGGGGAAGAGAACAATGGTTAGAAACACAATCCCCAACCCCCAAAGGCCTCTGGTCAGAATTTCCTTCCTCCTTCCTGGTCTTTGTTTCTCTAGCAGGAATGACTCAGTCATAGAAGCTGCTCAGTGATGGCTGAATGAGTGAATGGGTGCGGGATCACTGGTAGCCATGTTTGAGCTTTCTGCCCCATGGTCTGACAACATTCTTGAAACAAGGGAAGAAAATTGAGCCTGGGATCAAGATCACGGAAGGGGACTGAATGTTTGTGTGCTTTCATTCCAGCCTGGGTATAGAAGAGAAAGATTCAGTGGTCCTGATAAATATTTTGTATCTACCAGTAGCCATAGATCCTAATTCAGAGACCATTGATGCTAGAATGTTTTTCAATCCAAAAACTCAAGTTTGTCCATGTCCGAGGTGTTCATCCTTAAATAAGTCATTGGAAAAAGTTAAGCCTCAATTCCTTCATCATGTAAAATCGGGAAGATATAATCGCAAACTAAAGTTTTGTAAGGATCGCAAAAGGAAGCATATGTATAAGCTGTCAACTGCCATCAAATATAACTCCTGTGGTTTTTTTTTTTTTTTTTTCCTGTGCCACTAAGAACACAAGCGTTTCTGGACTTAGTAAGGCTGGCAGCCAGCTCCCAGGGCTCCGTGCTGTCAGGCTGAATAACAGACACTCGCAAGTGCACAGGAGATGCTTGCAGTGAATTAAGTGATGTGTGCTACGTGGGCTTTGCCCTTATGCCAAGAGGCAATTTTCAATAACAAAAGATTGGTATATAATTAACTCTTGTGTTCTCTACTTTGGGATCATCTCCCCAGTAAATCTTGACTGTAACTTCTTAGGTATTCAAGGAGAAAAAGGGTCTTCCCTGGGACAAGGAGTGTGTGTGTGTGGGGGGGGGGGTGAGGATTGGAGAGATAGAATCCCTGCCAGAGCACAGCCATGCTCCAAGCACTTCCAGGCTGAGTTCCCATCTTGGGCAGAACACAGAAACCATGGAATAGCTCCAAAGAGAGGGGATACTTCCAGGAAGGGCTGCAGTTAGGCCCCTATCTTATTCCTGCACCCTTTTAGATGAGAAACATTAGAAAATATAGCTCTAAGACTAGAAAGACCCTCAAAAGAACAATGTGATAAAGGAGACCCAGGGTCAAACTTTCCTTAATCTCAACATACCTACCACCTGGGACCTATGTAGACTGACCTTCCACAACTCTTATTTTCTCAGCACTTACAAATACCAGAAAGGTCCACTCCCAAGCTTGTCCTCACAAAGCCATGCTGTGTGGCTGTCTACATAGTTGTCCCTAAGCACTGCTACAGGCACTGAACTCCAAAAGTTTTTTCTGTGCCAACCTCTTTTATCCAGTCCTTCTCCCCAGCCCATGGGGTCCAGAGGTCTCTTTACATCTGTGCTCACAGCACACAGGACTGTGTGGTTAACCTCTGGGCTTCTCATCTACGTCACCAAGGAACTGAGATCGATGAGTTTGGGCCTCTGGCTTTTCCGCCATCACAGCTTCTCAATGAAAAGACAATAATAACTTCATGAGTTTCTTAAGCATTTATGAAGCCAAATTATGTCCATTATTTAATTTAATCCATTTCATAATCGCCCTGTGGGACCAGCAGAGTATCACAATCTCTATTTTACAAGGGAGACAACTGCAGTCCAAGGCCACACAACACCGAAGTCATTAGAGTGGGTCTGAATGTCCCGGTCTCTGACTCCAAGTCCAAGAACAATGTCCACTGCCCTTCATTCATCAGTGGCACCCACTGAGCCTCTTCCATGTGTCCCTGACATAACTGGTCATTCATCCCAAGAACGGGGGGAGGGGGGTGTGCAGCCCCTCCCAGGCCCCTCCTTGCCTTGATGCCATGAGGGAGGGAGGGCAGAGCTCACCAGAGTGCACGTGATCAGAGACCAGCCGGAGGATGTCCCCAGGCTGCCCATCGATGTTGAAGCAGACAGTGAGTTTGCTCAGGGGGAAGTCCACCACAAAATGGGGGTCACCATCCACTGCCAGGACGGGAGAAAAAGGAGAGAGAAAGGCAGACATTTATTGGCTGTCTTCCGTGTGTAAATACTCCTCTCTATTTTCTCACCCATCATTTCTTTGCTCCTTAGGACAATGGTGGAAGAACAGTTTTCCCAATTTCTAAACAAGGGAGAGAAGTGACTCTCCAAAGTCTCCCAGTGAGCCCACGTAAAGTAAATACGGACTTCAGGCCTCCTAAGTCCAAATCCAGTGCTTCTTGCACCAGGCCTCAGTTAAGTGTATAGAGCCAGGCCTAAGAGGAGGAGGAGTGTGACAGGGAGGAGAGGTGCAGTCCCCAATGTCCTGGGTGGGTTTCCTCTCACTGCCCACCTGAAGAATGCAGCCTCGGGGCTGGGTTGTGGCTCAGTGGTAGAGCACTTACCTTGATGTGTAAGGCACTGGGTTCGATCCTCAGCACCACATAAAAATAAATAAATAAATAAATAAAGATATTGAGTCTAAGAATGCAGCCTCTTCTTATCTATGGCAAGAGTTTCTTAGCGCTTCTCCCAGGAAGCCCCAGTCTGTCTCACAAACACTCCCAGTGCCAGCTGTCTGCGATCCCAGCGGGCAGGTCCTGAGAAGCCAAGCCCAATTTATGGGCAGTGACAGGTGAAGCACTAGGTTCGGCAGTGACAGCGATGAGGGCAGAAATCACTCTCATAGGTCACACTGACTTTACTGCTCTCAAATTTTTGTCCACAGATGAAGTTCAGCTGGCCCCCGTCCCTTGTCCATTTCTCCCCCTTTTCACCTCTGCCAAAGATGAAGAGCCTGTGTCTTGTTGTACAGATCAACTATTTCCCAAGAGTCTACATCAATTCCCTTCTCTCACTGGACTGGAGATGTACTTTCTGACTTACACACCAGACACAGCCTGTTTTGGAACCCCTCTCTGTTTTTCGTGTATGTGTATACATGCATGAGAATGCACCTAGGTACAGCAGAGGTTTGGGTCAGGAGAAGTCTGGTCTTTTCAAGCTCTAAACAACTTCCCATCCTCCTTATACCTGCAGAAAAACTCTATCTGCCTCCAGCATCACTCAGAAGATCCCTTGAGAAAATCTGGCTACTCTCACTGTGAAGTGCCTCATGTCCCCTGTGAATGGCAACATATAAAGAAATAAAAGGTATCTGTCTTCAGATGGTGGGTGGAGGGGAATGATACCCAGAGGAAACAAAAGTTCTCTCCCACATTTTTGGCACTCTCTGACAGTACTTTGAGACTTTCTGTACACACTACGACATCCACTTCTATTTAAATCATCCAAATCCCTTTACAAGGAAAGATTCTGCTTGTTCCAAAAAAGAGGAGTCCAAAAGTGATTACTGCAGGCAGCATCCAAGAGGAAGGTTTTCTTGCATTCCACAAAGCACACGTGTTCAAGGAATTGCATTCTATCCATGAGAGACTACGCATTTCATCCCCATAGCTAATCTCTAGTACGTCCCTGGATTTAAGAACTTGCACGTACAGTACATCGGCAGAGGGATCGTGAGACTTAGAAGGGAAGACGTGTACATTGGAAAATAAAAGCCCAGCGCCCCTAACGCTGCTCTTCCATTTTTATCATAATACCAAGAAGCTGCCAAAAGGAAACTCTATGATGTTTTTAATCTGTTCTTCCTTCTGAAGTTTGGGATTACAAAACAATGACAACGAAATCCTGCTTACCTCAACAGAAATTTCTAAAATACCACTTCTGTATTCATGACACCAGGGGCTGGAAGCACACACACTCCAGACCCCTGAAACCAATGCCTTTTAAGCACAGAAGATGTCTGTTATTCGACTCTTCTTCCACCAGGGCTGTTGCGCCAGGCTTTCCTGGGGACTGTGTGATCTCCACGGTGTTTATGTAATGGCTTAAAGATGGTCCTGGTTCTCGGCATGCACTCTGTTGGCCTGAGTTAAATAAATACAGTCATGATGCCTTGTTCTGTGAACTGCTAACCTAAATGTGCTCCTGGTGGCCCCTGTCCAAATTTCCCTTGTTCCCAACGCATTCACCAAACCACCTCCTTCTCTTTACCTGATGTTTTAGAGATTTTGATTCTTGGGTCATATGGTTTCTTGAGAGTGGGCCCTAAAAAGGAGAAGGAAGAGAACACTGTAGTTATTCATCAAAGAGGATCCTGTTAGAGGCCCTGGAGAAGCAGGCTGAGATGAGAAATATTCAGTTTTCAGATACATTTGTAACCAAGAATAAAAAACAAAAACAACAACAACAACAACAAAAAAAAAAACTGTTCAAAACATCATCTATTTTAAAGGAAAAGTCTGGCCTCCAAAGAAACAAGCAAGGATGGTTGATGATGTTATTGGTTTAGCATTTAGATAGTATTTTTCTTTTCTGTGATCTCTGTTTACATAAAAGGGGGGAAACAGTCTATCACACTTAAGATACAGTTCTGGGTAAAGGGAGACTAGGGGGTTATTGTTTAGGGAATACAGAGTTTTGGTTCCACCAGATGAAAAACTTTCTGAAGCTGTATTTCACAATGAAGAGAATATAGCCAGCACTACTGAACTGCACCCTTAGAACAGTTAAGATGGTAAATTTTATGTTATGTAGTTTTTACTGCAATGAAAACAAAAGAGACAGTTATATTCCAGGGTCCAGAGCTATGTGTGTAAGCTTAATTCAGAAAACATTTTGAAACACCAAGGATTCAAAATGTACCTTAAAAAATATTCAATTAAATGACAACCTAAAAGTAAATTAATTTCTATAAATAAAACCAATATCATATGGTGCATTAGCAAAATTACACTCCTCTTTAGTCGTTTTCACCCCTCATAGAAATTAAAGGTCAACAGTGTTGGGGACGTAGCTCAGTGGCAGAGCGCTTGCCTAGCATGCCCAAGGCCCTGGGTTCCATCCCCAGTACTTAAAAAGAAAAATAAAATTAAAGATCAAAATCTCTAAATGGGTTTTAAGTGCCCCTTCCTAATTCTGGTCCCTGGAGAGCATGACATGGGCAGAGCGCAGATGGGCCAGGAAGGAGGGGGAAGTCCTTAGGCCAGATGATTGCTTTGAGAAGTGTCAGTTTCAACAGGCACTTTAAAAAATTAAAATTAAAATGTCATCAGAGCATTAACGACAGGAAGATTGTCTTACAAAATCACTAACGCTTCAGGAAAAATCTTACTCCAAAACTCTCCTTTGAACAATCAGTTGGTTATTTCCTCATCTGTGCTCTGGGTCCTTTGGGTCTTGGGTCATCTGCCTCTGATCTCTCCTGAAGCCACTGAGACTTGAGTAGTTTATGTAAGGTCCTTATTGCTCAAATAGCCATTTTCCTTGGATGTGGGACGAGTCTCGTGCGTGCGAAGTGACAGCATCCTGCAGCTTGACTTTTATCAGAATGAAAACGGCCCTCACTTCCCCAGACAGGCGCCAGTCTTTCTAACACAGCCACAGCTTGGTGTCGCCTGTCTGAAAGGGTCTGAGCTTCTTGATGAGCTTCTCACACGATGATGTGCCTCATAGAGAGGAGGGCTAAGATCTGCAGAACACTGGTCACATGCCCAAGACACTCTGTGCTTAATACTCACAGCAGCCCTCAGGGAACCTGTCACCACCTCCAATTTCCCAGTAAGGGAACGGAGGCTCAGAGGGTCTGGAACCTGCCCCGGGTCTCACAGCAGGTCAGGAGGTTGGTGGGTCCTAACTCCATGCTCTCTCTGCCACACCCACGTGCTTCCCAGAGCTCAGAGTGTGAGGAATAAAGGAGACAGCAGTTAACCAGGGCTCGTTAACTTCAGTCCCCTTTCCTAGGAGATGGCAACTTGACAGCGGCCTCATCACAACACCACACCCAACCAATGTGCCACTTTCTACCGGTGGACATGACCTAGACTGTGACCCTCTGATTTGGTTTTACTACTTTTCCTTTCTCCTGCTCCCGTCTCTGTGAAGTCCCCCTGTCCACTGGCACTGACTGGGCATGAGGCTTCTGTTGGATTTTGAGTGGCAGGTGTGTCCAGGGTGAATTCTCTCGAGATTCCCTAGCTTGGTTCTTCAAAAAACTTTCTCAAGAAAATGAAATCGATCCCACGCACACAGTAACACAACTCTGATGTGTTTCGGGACATTGAAAGGCACTAAAGCAGAACATAGCTGTGGGCTCATCTTGGGGCCTCCAGTACTGGCTGGCATGTGGTGGGCCCTCAACTGATTGATGATTGACTGATGGGCATTTTTTGCCTCATGCCAATTTTTTCTCATTTCTCAAGAGCCACAGTTTATAATGATACAAATACAAAAATCAAAGATACTCTTTGAAGGCTATTGCTATATGCAGGGTTCTGGTTTATTAAAAGAAACTATAGTATGATAAAAAATAAATAAATAAACTTGTGGAGGTCCCCACAGCCTCACCAGGAGCTCAGGTTTCTGGAGCTGCCTTACCTGGCTGCAGGCCGGCTCCTCGCAGGCTCTGCATCACCATCTCAGGGCCTGTGGCAGCAGACATGCCATGGATGTCCTCCAGCCCACCAGTGTGGAGAGTCGGCTTCTTGAGCTTCATGGATGTGAAGGGGGTGAGGAAATGATAGTTCACGGCCAACGCCTGGGCCCTCTGCCTCAGCTGCTCCTTCTCCTGCTCATCATTACTCTGCACCCAAGAGCTCAGCAGCTCCTTCACGGTGAGGTAGCTCCAGAGACGCTTGATGTGGTTGGGGTCCCCCTGGCCATCACCTTTGGGCCTGGGGCTTCCTGGGACATCATTCCCCACTTTCTGGGGCTCCACGGGCACCTTCGTCTTCAGCACGACGAACTTCTTACTGTTGCTGGCGGTGACCTCCACGGGCAACTGCTCCACCTTCCTGTCCGCCAGCTTCCCGGCGATGATGATCTCTGAGCCGTTGAAATAGTTGGGGAACAGAGTTTTGGTGGCATGCTCCACTATGCCAGGGGGATAGTCGATGCGGATGTCAGAAAGGAGGGGGGTCCTGATCTCATCGTAGAACCTGCAGCAGCAGCAGAAGAGAGAGAATGAAGGTCCAGCCCTGGAGAGGAGTCCACACCTCACAGGTGGATCTGACTCCAGAGGTGATCAAGTCCCACACTAGAGCCAGTACAGTATGCCCCATGGGAGGTCATTCAGCAGGAGCTTGAGCATTTCTGGCAAGACCACACTCACCGCCTCTTAAGGCTTCCAGGCCCCTTTACCTACTCTCTGATGATGAGGAAGACCCTCCTAAGAGTCGATCAAAATCATCCCCCTCAAATTTCCAGCCAGAGGCCTCAGTTTTGCTTCTGGAGCAAGACAGAATTAGGATGATCCATCCTCAACACAAAAGCCATTTAGATGCTCCAACGACTCTGCCCAGGGTTCCCTGCACTCTTCATTTCATGCTACCTAATCAGCCACCAGATTTTTAAATTGGTGCCTATTAATTATACAGAGTGGTGAGTTTCACTGTGGCATATTTAAAGATGCATAAAACGATGCGATTTGAAAAACAAGGAACATTTCACAACTTTGGGTATCATCCTGGACAGGGGCCATACTGATCTCTGGATGGTTCCGACCTTAGTATACCTGCTGTCAAAGCAAGCAGTTTTCATGAATAACTCTTCATGAGAGTCAACTTCAAAGTCCTAAGCACTCCTGATAAATTCCTGATACACACCTGAGTTTCTCAAAGAGCCACTTAAAATATTATTCTTAAAACCAAATACACATTTCAGATGAATTTTAAGCAGCACATTAGATTTGAGAATTCTGGCCTTGACTTTAATGTGGTGCTTTTACGTGATGCAACATTTGTTTCTATTAGGTTTTTTTTTTCCGTGTGTGTGTGTGTGTGTGTGTGTGTGTGTGTATGGCGGGGTGGGGGGGTTCTGTTATATGGTTGCTTCTTGATAAAGCCACAATTAAAATCCCTTTTCCATAGGTGTAGAGAGAACAGGCTGTAGAGCCACTTCCTTACTGTGTGTCTTGGAACATGTGGCTTAACCTCTCTAACTTCAGTTTCTTCAGCCATAAAATTGGAATATTAACAGTACTACTTTGGTAGCCTACCAGCTGTCTCCCCAAGTCCATTCTCCCCTTCTTTTATATTAACTGAGTTCTAAGTAGGCATTTGTCCATCCTCCTACAAAAGCAATTTCCCAGCCTCCACTGGGGCCAATTATGGCCATGTGACCATGAGCTCACCAATGGATTATACATACAAGTGATTTGTGAAATTTCAAAGATACTTGCTAAAAACAAAATAGCTTGTGTTGGCTTTCCTTCCTTTCTCCTTATCTGGGCAGGGAAAACAAAGGATACTGGCTTAATTTCAGCCTGGCAGCTCAGGAAAACACCTATGGGGAACAAATCCATAAAATGGAAGGAGCCTGGGTCCCTGAGTGGCTTCATGGAGCAGAATTGATCCTGTCCAGCTGACAGGTGGGAGAAATGAGCAGTTTTCTTAGTTGAGTCTTTGCATTTTCTCATCACTGTGTGTGGCCACTTGGCTTTTATGTAATATACCTATCTCCTAGAACTTCTGTGAGGATCACATAAGGCAGGTAGAGATGCCTGGCATGTCCTGAGTTCTCTGTAAATGTATCAATATTATTTTTAGTAGTGTGACAGTGAAGTTGATTTGTTTCAATGTGGTGGCTTTTGCTTATGAATTCCTTACTGAATCCCTGTTTTTATCAGAGCATTTGATTCTCCTTCTTTGAATCTAATAATTTTTTATAATGGTAGGAAGTAATCAGGGTTTTCATTTAAATCTTTCATTAAAATGTTGGGGAAAAAAAATGGTAGCCAGTCTCATACCAACCACCTGTTTTTATTGCATACCTGAGAGACCTTCAGCAGGATTGATAATGAATAAATTTCTTTGGCTATGGCTACTGAACAACTGTAAATTCACCTCAGTTTTCCTTTACCACAAATGCCACAACACAGAGAAAGGTACTGTATGCAGACGCTGGCATCTGAGTCAAAAAAGCAAAGTCACATGCCCAGCTTGGCAACATGGCTTGAGGGAAGGTACTTTTGTGTTAGAAGACCCAAGATCTAGTTTCTTTTCCACCTCAATATAATAATCTGAGTATTGTATTTACCAGTTTTAATTGGTCACTTTGCTTCAAAATTAAAATGTAACCACTTATAAAATAAACTCAAAATATCAAGAAGGCAATTGTAACTACAGGAGCTCAGTGGACACCTCATACCTGACACTGTGCCAACACTTGCTTTCTCATTCAACTGTCAGCCTGCCATGACCCTCACTGTACAGATGAGGAAACAGTCATAAAGTCCCAAAGCAGGACCCCTAACCTGCCTGATTTCAAAACACCCAGTATCTACCAGTACAAGGAGTTGGCATTTCCGGCAGGTGTGAGATCACCCTCATTTCTGAATTTCACAAGGAATCCAATCCTGGGCCCCCTCAACCTCTCCTCGTCCCGAGAAGACAGGCAACTGACCCGATGAGCTGCGAGCCAGCGTCCTCCTCCTCATGCACGCGCCGGGTGAGGCCACAGTTCTCCAGCGACAGTTTCTCCAGCAGTTTGAAGTCCACGTCGTTCCCAATGCCGATGGTGAAGATACAGATCCGACCTCGGGCGGCCTCCTTGGTGTTGTTGAGAATCTTGAGGGTGTGGGTCTCCCCAACGGTGGGCTTCCCATCTGTCAAGAAGATGATGAGGGACACACTCCGGTCCTCGATGTCGTTGTGGGTCACATAATTGTTGAGCAGCCCGATGGCTGTCTGAAGGGCACCGTTGATGTCTGTGCCTGTAGGGAGCAACACAGAACAGCTCACACCTCTGCACCCACCCGGACCCTGACACATGTGTAGAGCTGCAGAGAACTCGGCCACACAGGCATCAACCAGCAGGACTGAGCTGCGGGGGGAAAAGAGATCACCTGCATATGTGGGTGGCTCAGCTTACAGATAAATCTAAATGGCACGGGGTTATCCCACTGGCAAACCTTTTCCCCATGGTACCCAATGACACCTGGGCTTAGAAGTCCTTATCTTAGCATTAATGGCTGCCACATTCCTAGAACAGCATTGAAAAGAAGCAGAACATGTTAGATACAGAGATTCAAAGAAAGAAAGTCAGAGAGGGAAGAAAGGATCACAGAATGAAAGGGGGGGGGGGGGCGGGTGGCGCGGGCAACTGGAGACCATGTCAGATGGCTTCAAAGGCTGCCCAGGCTGGACGGTGCTGACTGAAGAAGTAATGAGTCACCTTCATTGTCCCTTTTCTTGCCTGCTGCCTCTTCAGGGTTACCTCTGCTTGTTAGAAGCCACAAAGGAAAGAGGCATGGATACATATATATATATATACCTCCTGATTCTGTAAACTCTCCTTTAGAAAAGGTGCTCAGCAGCAGCAGTTCTGATTAAAGTCCTGGGGCAGGGTGTGTGGTAGGTACCAATATGTATTTGCTTGGCGGGTGGAGAGAGATGGGTGGTTTGGTTGGTTAGGTTAAAACTATCAGCTAAAATGAGGTTTCTGGATTAGCCAGGAAGATCACTCAACTGAGCTACCACTGTTGAACCATCAAGGAAAACAGATTTCTTACTGTAGCATGAATATCTATTTCCTTTAGTTGTTGTTTTTTGAATGGCTTGAGCTAAAATTTACATACCAAAGAAATTTCCCATTCTAAGCACCCAATTCGTTATTTTTAGTCATAGATTTCTGTTCCAAACACCTTGCAAAATGTACCATGTTTGAAAGAACCAGATCATTTTCCCCACTGCTTTATACTCTCCAGAATTTCTGGCAAAAAAGGATAAATCTATGCCTGTGACAATTATGTTCATAATTCTTGCTAAGATGCACACAGAGTCTAAACAGAAGGGAGAGTTACAGCTGAAACCATCTTCAACACTTCTTTGGGATCATTGATTTGCCTTTCTTAACGCCCATCTAATTTCATGTGGCCTCTGGGTGTGTGGGCATGGACTGACTGGCAGGTGTTTGTATGCTCTTTAATCGGCACTTAGCAATGATGCCAAGTCTCCCTCTCCACTTCAAAGCCAAAGAGAGCCAGGGCCAAGCCATCAATTTAGCCTTCCTGATTGCACATGGGTGCCAAAGGAACTACAGGGCTTGGAATCAGGCCTACGTTAAAATGGGGCATCTCTTGTCCACTCAGCAACCAAGAACTCACGGGACCCAAGCGCACCAGCAAGGGAGCTACTCAAGTGGGTAAAAATCATGGCCACATCTGATGCTTGAAGAGGACTTCCTGCTTGCCGTGCCTCTTCTGTGCACTTTAAAAATCTTAACTCATCTCACCCCAATAACAACCCCATTATTATCTCTGCTTTACAAAGAAACTGAGGCAGAGGGAAGTTCTTTGTCTAATAGAGAGTGGAGCTAAATTCAAGTCCAGGCAGTATGGCTTCAGAATCTGCACTCCTAGTTCTGAGGTTCCATTCTCAGAGAGAAGCAGATTAATCCACTGTTGACCTGCAGAGGCTGAGGCAATGCAGGGTCAAGAATAAGTAGAGGGTGGCTGGGGCCGTAGCTCAGCGGCAGAGCACTGGCCTAGCACATGTGAGGGACTGGGTTTGATCCTCAGCACCACATAAAAATAAAAACAAATAAAATAAAAAGGCATGTGGTACATTTACAACTACAAAAAATATTTTTTTTTTTTAAAAAAAAGAATAAGTAGAGGAACCAGGCATGATGGAGTGTGCCTGTAATCCCAGTGGCTCAGGAGACTGAGGCAGGAGGATCAAGAGTTCAAAGCCAGCCTCAGCAATTTAGTAAGATGCTAAGCAACTCAAGAACACCCTGTGTCTAAATAAAACACAAGAAAGAGCTGGGATGTGGCTCAGGGGTAAGTAACCCTGGGTTCAATCCTAGCCCCCTACCAAAAAAATAAAATAAATAAAATTTTATATATATATATGAGAAACTAACCAGGTTTCTAAGGTTCAGATTCCAAAGGAACATAGTCCACAGTTTAGCTGTTATCTGAAGTTATTTATCACCTCCCTGCCAAACATACACTTGTCATTTGAAGAGTAAGTAGTGCCATTAAAATAAGTTCACTTAGCAAATATTCACTGAGGATGCAGTACCTGTCAGGAACCACGCTGGGTACTAGAGGCCACAAGGACTTCACAGCCTTGTCAACTTTCTTCTGTGGACAAAAACTATCAAATTAAATCTAATCTTTTACCTTTACCATCCAACACCAGAAAAGTTCTAGACCACGCTGCTATGGAGACTGGTAGGAAATGCCAGGCTAAGTCAGACACTGGCCAAGCAAGGCCAAGTTCCAGGTGAGGCTCCTCTGGAAAATCAGGGCTTCGTCCTCGATGGGAAATTATGAATACATGAAAACTGGGAGAAGACTGAGTTGTTTCACATGTTTCTAGATAACCAAAGTGGAGTTAACCACAGTGACAACTTCATAAGATGGGTCTCTGTAAAGGGTCTTCAAGACAGGGAGCAGGGACAGCTCGGCCCCACAGAACACTCCAGCACTGAGCACCTCTTTATGTGTCCACAGTATTCATGACACAGCCCCTGTCCGGAGTTGAAAAAACTTACAGGTAGCACAGATGGGTAACATATTATTCTGATTCTCTGATCTCAGAACTCTATTTTTTGATACTGGGGACTGAACTACTGAGCTGCATCCCCAGCCCTTTTTAAATTTTTTATATAGAGACAAGGTCTCAGAGTTGTTGAGGCTGTCCTTGAACTTGCTATCCACCTTTTTCAGCCTCTGGAGTCACGGGGATTACAGGTGTGGACCACTGCACCTGGCTTAGAATTCTCCTCTCTGAACACTCTGCACATGGCGCCATGCTCAGGATGACCACACAGTGATTCAGAGCCCAGCATCCTCCTTGGCCCATTTCACATTCATAGCACTTCCCAGGCCATGGTGACCCACTCTGAAGGCCCTGCCTTGAAGGCCACCAGTTCCGCAGGGCAGTGCCATCTTTCTGCTCAAGGTGCCCTCATCCAAATGGACCATTCACTGGGCTTTAACTCTCCACCCAAGAACAATTTATAAAAAGAGTTTCCTTGTCCAGGATCCATGAGAGAAGCCAGGAAAGCCTCCAACCACCTTTTAGGTACTTTGTCCCCTTAAGCTGACCAACTTAGTCTGGGGACTGAGGAAGGAGAATTCACAAATTTGGTGTTCCGAGAATCATAAGCTCCTGAGAAAGCCCTCACCAGTTACCCTCTGTCCTGTCAGCACCTTTAGCTCTCAAATTCTTGTCTCTTGGCAGAAAATTAGCTTGATTATGCTGCGGCTACTATGGGAGGCAGGAACCATTCTTACCTCCACTGGGTGACATATGGTGAATGTGGATCTTGCCGTCCCTGATGTTGAGGGGAGTAACTGACAGCAAGTGGTCCTTCCACACTTTGATCCGGTTGGAAAACCCAATGATACTGAAGCGGTCCTGGGGCCGGAGGTCATGGAGAATGGTGAAGAGGGCATCCTTGGTCTAGGAAACACAGAAGCCAAACCAGTCACTTGGATGGCATTAGTCCACTTGCTCCCTGGCTTGGAAACTGCCCACAAGGAACTATCCCAGGGTTCAGAGTGGTACCTGCCATGTAAAGGGCTCTTGGCTAAATAGAAGGAATTGTGACCTCGCTAAACAATGGCGTAACTGTATACAAGGCATGAGTCGGTGGTGAACATGTAACAGGTCACATGCTGCTGCCAGTCAAGGTGTGTCAGGCCCAAGGTATACCTTCATAATTGCCGTTCTCTTAACCCAGAATATTCTTCGCAGCTGCTTTGTTCCCATCTTTCACCCAACAAGCCTCTACTCATTATTCCAGACCCAGACAAGTGCGCGAAATTCTCTATTTGAAACTTTTCCAAAGAGAGCTGATCATTCCCTCCTCTAGGCTGGCACTGTCCCCAGAACACTTGGGTCATAAAATGCCTGCTGCAGAGTGACGATGACTTGTCTTATGCCTCTTTCCCTTATTGGATTGGAAGCTGTTTGCAGATGGCTCTCATTCATCCTGTAACCCTAGGAGATGCTGGGGGTGGGTGAATGAAGGATGGAACCCTCAAATCAAAGGCAGACACAGCAAGTGCCATAGGAATTGAGCAGATTATGAAATCGCCATGGACTGGAATGACATGAGAAGGTTCTGTAAAGAAACAGAAATCTGAGTGCGGCGCTTAGAGGGTTGGACAGCTGCAAGGAGTAGGAGGGGGACCCTGAAGAGCAGCGGCCATGAAGAAGCAGGGCCGGAGCCAAGGGAAGAGGGGAGAGGCGAGTGCGGGAGATGCCGGCTGGAGCGAAGGTGTGCGCTCAGGTCTGACGTGACCTGTGGAAAGGAGAAAGGAACCTCAGGAAGCAAAACCAGAAAAACTCTAGAGTCTGGACAGGAGTTTCTGGAGTCCACCACCAGACACCACGAGGAAGCACAGCCGTCCCCGGACAGCAGGCTGGGCGCTTAGAGAGACTCAGCCTCTCAAGTTAGGGGCTTTCATGACACCATTGCCATGACAATGACACCAGCACCTTTTTACAGCACTAAAGGTCACAGACTTCAGAGCCAGGTGGTCTTCTGTGGGGGAGGATAGAATAAATGAGGACAGGCAGGGAGGAGACCAACAGGGAGGGGGAATGGAAGGTGTGACTTTCAATCTAAGCAGCTCGGCCAACACTCTCATCGCTGCTCCCCACCCTGCGTCCCTCCAGGCCTGAATTCTAGAAAACTCAGAGTATTCTCAGTCTAGAGGGTCACTGCCATGCACGCTGCTACTTTAAATAATATATTTTCTTTAGACTAAATAAAGCCAAGGAAGGCTGGGGGTGTGGCTCATCAGGAGAGTGCTTGCCCGGCATGCCCAAGGGCCCCGGTTTGATCCCCAGTACTGCCAATAAATAAATAAATAAAGCCAAGGGGGAAACATTCTCACATGTTCACTGTTTATGAAGATTCACTATTTAAGAAGAAGGGGCCAAGGCCTGGGGATATGGCGCAGTGGTAGAGCGCTTGCCTGGAATGCATGAGGCCCTGGGTTCAATCCCAGCACCTGCCACCACACACACTCACACACAAAGACAAAGAGCCCAAGACACCAAAAGTCTCACTCTAAGATGCCCATGCTCCTTCTGAGTGAGCCTCCTGCTCTATGGCTAGCTTTCCTAGATATATATCTAGCTGTCTTAGATAAATCTTTGTGCTTCTTTTGACATCTCCTGAGATTCCTTTCTGTGGTGTAAGTCAAGAACCTGCCAGGGCTGAGTTGAGGCCCCCTCCTCCATTCTGGGGGACCTCCTCGGACCCCTTTCAGGTGACGGTGTGTACTTGAGGCTGGCCTCATCATCTCTCATGGGCCCTATGCAGTGAGCGCCATCTTTCCTTTCTTACTCTTTCCTATCTCACTGTGCCTCATTGGGACAGTGACAGCGCCCACCCCATCAGCTGGTCTCAAAGGTCAAATCAGGTACAAGATGAAAGGTTCTCAAACAGGGCCCGGCAGACAGTGAAAGGGACCTTGTTACTTGCCAGCTGGTGGGAGGTAGAATTTAGGGAAGCAGGAAGTCTGGAGAGGCTATTTCCAGAATGACTGGCAGTAAAGAGCAATATGACCCTCGGAAATACTACGTAGGTCTTTCCCCAGATTTTATGACTCTGACTTTGCTTCATTCCCCAGATTCAGGCAGTATTACAGCTTCCACCTCTCTGTGTCAAATGACCACTGTTTTTTTTTTTTACATTTCCCCTTCTAAATTTCCGCTCTTCCTCACTTGTCTGTCCTCCTCTTCAATCCTGTGTCCACCTGCTCACTGTAATATCCCGTGGCCCAGCTCCGAATTTCACTGGGACCTCCAGATCCACTTTAGAATACTATTCTGGACGTGTCTACTTTTAAAATGGTACATTCCATTCTTTCCTGTGTGGCTTATGAAACCAGGAGGTTCTAGTCTGGGCAAGTGTTCACGTAATGTTCCCTGGTGATCCCTGCTGAACGTTAGTTCCTCATCTTCTACCATTTCTTCATTCCCAGATGGAGGAAGCAGCAGAATTAATGACATCATCAGAAGCATGAAGATGATGATGATGGGGACAATAAATGTCATGTTGAGTGCAAATGCTTCCCTGTGTTGGGGTGACTGATTCTCCTAATCCTCACAGCCCGCCTGAAGTAAAGTGACTATTAATGTTCCCATTACTCAGATAAGGCAACTGAGGCACAGAGGGAGTAAACGCCATGCCCCACAGGAGCCTGGATTGGAATTCAGGAAGACTGACACCAGGACCAACACTCAACCCACAGCGGTGGGATCTGCAGCCCCCACCCTGCTGGGGCTGAGAATACTCTGACCTATAACCCTCACAGTCTGCAGCCCATTTTGGCATCCCTTCCAGTTCTGTTTCTGAGCTCTGTTTATTTCTTTGTTTCTTTCATTTCATTTCTGGCAGCAATTAATGGATTCATCTCCTATAACATCCTTACAGAAGGCACTGCATGAATTCCCCATCCACCCAGGGACGAGAACAATGACTGTATTTCATTAAATCCGTCTCCTCATCCTACAGAGGACTGCCTCCTACTCCCAGTTCTTCCAGGAGAAAAGAGGGCTGTGAAAGTGCTGTTTTCTCTCCTGGGGCTAGGAAGCCTCCTCCATTCTCCCTGAACTCCTTCTGGTGTGGGCTTTCCTCTGAGGGACACTCATTGGCAGCAGAGATTCCTGTCCCCTCATAAACCTGACTCCCATTCCCAGGAAATGGGTCAAAGTGTCTTATGACCATAAACAGAATCCACACCCCAAATGGGCCAGCAGTTCTGGAAGACATTTAAGTGTGTGTGAGATGCTCTACCAAGATGGCAGCTTCCTCCTTCTTAAAACTCTTCTTGTTCTGGCTTTCCCCCGCACACCCTGGGTCTCCCCAAGCTGACTGGTGCTCCCTTGGGCTCTGCTAGGCCTCAGCCACCTTTCAATGAAAGAGTCACAGGGTGATAGTCTCAGCTGAGTCCCAGCTCCACACTCCTCCGCCAGTCTCTGTCTTGCCCACTTCCAACTCATCTCCAGAACTTGCTTCTCTCATTAGATCCAGATCAACCCGACAACTATTCTCCCAGCATGTCCCACCAGCAGCTCAGACTCAACAACATGAAGACTGGGACCTTCACCTTCTGACTCTTGCCTGTGTCCCCTCTGCTGCTCCCTCTCTTGGGGAATGGCACCTTTGGCCACTCAAAGGTCCAGATCGGAAACCTGGGCATCATGCCAAATCTTCTCTCCACCCCATCCCTGACCCTCATCTGCTCTAGCACCCAATCCCCAAATTCCAACGCCTCCCCAAAACTCCCCAGGACTATAATCTGAGCATTTTCTTTTGTTGTCGTTCTTAATTTTTTTTAAAAAATATTATTATTGAAAAGATCAGAAAAAAATATAAAATTCACATTATCCCACCACCTAGAGACAACCACTATCAAAATACTGGCACACTGCATGCCCTTCAGGGGTTTTTGTGTGAATCTACATGTGTACACATGTGTGTATGTGTATATGTTTGATTTTAAAGAAAATGCGATCGTATAATATGTATATCATGCTGTAAAGTTTTTATTTACTATACCATATACATTTTTCATGTCAATAAATGAATGAAAGTCATATAATTTTAACAGTAGCATAATACTCTGCTATATGTGTACCTATTCTTTAATATTTCTGAGTATTGAAGCAGAATTGTTATGAAGCTCATTACTCACACATCTTTGTGTCTGTGACTACTGCCTTAAGATAAATTCCCAAGCATGGACTTGGAGTGACGAAGGACTTGCACTTTTGGAAAGATTGAGCATGTCCACATCTTGCTGTGGAGTTAGATTTTCACCCCTCTGTTAAAAACTTTTAGCTGAGCAAGGTGGTGCATGCCTGTAATCCCAGCGGGTTGGGAGGCTGAGGCAGGAGAATCAAGAGTTCAAAGCCAGCCTCAGCAAAAGCGAGGTGCTAAGCAACTCAGTGAGACCCTGTCCCTAAATAAAATACAAAATAGGGCTGGGGATGTGGCTCAGTGGTGGAGTGCCCCTGAGTGCCCAAAACAAACAAACAAAATCTTTGACGGCTCCTCACTGCACTCAGCATAAAGTTTACTCTCTTTTTTAGATACAAGATCCTCCATAAAATATATGGTCCCCATCTTCTAATGCTATCTGCTGCTGGTCCCATCCCCAATACCAACACTGAGGTCGACTCCACTCCACCCCCACCAAGCCCCTTGCCCACAACTTCCCTAAACCCACCAGGTGTTTCCAAGACTTTGCTGCTGCACAAACTCCCCCTTCTCCTTTCCCCTCTCTACCCTGGGAACCATGGTCTGTCCTTCAGGACCCACCCACCATGCCCCTCCTTGGTGAAGCCATTCCTAACTCAGCCATGAAGACAGGCAATGGCTCCTCCCCTGATCCTCCTCCATGGATTCACACGTACACTATGGCACCTCCACATCATGGCGG